TAATAACAGAGGGTTCAGCTATTTGTTCTTTTTCTTTACCTCTACAGAATAGTGCAGGGCGGAGGAGGCTGGGTGCAGAGACAAGTTCTGGAAGGGTTTGATCTTTGGAGCTTCCCAGCCGTCCGCCTCCGACCAGTTAATTGTCAGCATGTGGTCAGAGAACTGTTTGCCGAACATCAGCGTGGACGGGTCGGGCTTCGGCTTGCATTTCGGGTTGCGTTCGATGGTGAGATCTGCTGCCTGCGGCAGAACCGGAGAACCAGAGGAAGGAGGAAGGGAGAAGAACAGAACAGAGCAGGCCACGAATACAGTGATTGTTTTCAAACCGGGTATTGATTAAGCATGCTTAAATAAAAAAAAAAAAATAAAATATTGGAGTAATAGTTCTGTTTTTTTTTTTTAATCAGGTTCAATTAAACTGAATTAAAAAAAAAATTAAACAAGGAAAGAGTGAGAAAAGGCGAGAGAAGGAAATTGGTTATCCATGAGAGGAAACCTTTTTTTTTATAACAAAAATCTAAAAAAAAAAAAAAAATTCAATAAACAAAGCATGTGCAGGTCTTACCCGACAAGTTCCCTACTTACCTTAAAGGAGCTGGCAAATCTCAGGGAGCCAAAGGAGAAGGGGAGAGTCTGAACAAGTCGTGCATGGAGCGCCTGGTAAAGCAAACAACAACATCTCAGTTATCTGGAGGCTAAGAATAAAAATAACGTTTCACCAGGTGACTTGCTTCCTTCTCATTAAGCTATAGTGAACAAACACATCAGCTGCACTGTGTCTGTGGGAGTGTGTGCCTGAGCACCAATCAGTTTATCTGATAGTCACGGTATGCCTCTCCTGACACTCGGCAGCAGGACACCAGACTGGAATAGAAACACGAGGCCAAACCTGCACAATTCAATTCAATTCAGTTTATTTATATAGCGCCAAATTCACAACACATGTCATCTCAAGGCACTTTACAGTTCAACCAGATCATACAGTCAAATTGATACAAAGTTTTCTATCTAAGGAAAACCAGTTGATTGCATTGACTCATTGACTCAAATACAATCCCCCACACTAAGCATGCTTGTAGCGACAGTGGAGAGGAAAAACTCCCTTTTAACAGGAATAAACCTCCAGCAGAACCAGGCTCAGTGTGAGCGGCCATCTGCCGAGGCCGACTGGGGTTCAAGGAGACAGAAGCAGAGATACAAAAAGCAGCTGTAAAAGGCGGCCCCGTCCAGGAAACACGCAGCCAGGCAGACGAGCTCCAAGGCAGCTCCCATGCCAGAGGACGAAGAGAGCACATCCACTCAGTCACGGTCAGAGAAACAGGACCACACTGGAAAACAGGCCGATCTCCAACATCTATTAACAAGGGTGTTGATAGAAGCAGCACAGCTGATGTTTCTTTCCAGGATGACGTCACAGCCAAACAGGAACAGACGAGGCAAAGCTACTCTGAGGAAAAGCAGAGAGAGCAGAAGGTTAGAGATTGAATTAACAGATTCTGCAGAATAGGAGAACAGAGAGAGAATGAAGCAGAATGATGAAATGGGGGTCCCTATGTCCTCCAAAAGTCTAAGCCTATAGCAGCATAACTATAGAGATAGCTCAGGATAACCTGAGCCACTCTAACTATAAGCTTTATCAAAAAGGAAAGTTTTAAGCCTAGCCTTAAAAGTAGACAGGGTGTCTGCCTCACGGACTAAAACTGGTAGTTGGTTCCACAGGAGAGGAGCCTGATAACTAAAAGATCTGCCTCCCATTCTACTTTTAGAAATTCTAGGAACCATTAGTAAACCTGCAGATTGAGAGCGAAGTGCTCTGTTAGGAACATAATGACAATGAATTAAAGTTAGATGCAGAACTGCCAAAGAACTGAGAGGGGGGGGACTTAACATCTCGTGGTTCTGAGTTCGAGTCCCACTCCCACAGACTGCCACTCTGGGTCTCTGAGAAAGACCCTTAACCCCACACTGCACCGAAAAGTGGCAGCCCACTGCTTCCCAAGCAGATGGGTTAAATGCAGAGGTAAATTTCTCTAATGTGAGATCAATAAAGTTAAATTATTATAATTAAAATTAGACCTGCAAAACAAGATAAAACAGCAACATCTGTTGTTCTGGAAAACCACAACAGAACTGCAGACAAATAGATAATCTGTGGTCAGAGATTCAGGACTGATCTTTGGAAGTAATTACAACAACTTTCAGCTCCTTTTCTGCCACATAATAACCTGCAGGGTGTTTACATAGTTGGTCAATATTTAGTTCTTGTAAAACAGGTTCTGTCAGTATTGATTTACTTTTGCAGCTCTTGTGGAGGTTGGCAATAATCTACCTGAACAGACCTCTAAACACAAGAAGGTCAGAATCAACTGTAAACTATGACCAGGCTTAAGAGCCAAAACAAAGGAGCTTTTTGTTATAAGATCCAACTGAAGGGAAACTGGAGACGCTGATAAAGAAACACCATACAGGGAAACGCCTCCAGAGAAAGGAGAAAAGAACAGTGGACCTGCTCTGATGGATCACATTCAGAAGTCCTTCATGATTTCTTCTCACATTTAGATCCTTTTACAAACAAACTGAATGGGAATAAAAAAAAAGATGGGTGGATGGTGGAGGAAAGGGTTAGGGATGTCTTGCAACATTTGCTAACATGCTAATATTTACCCAATACGATATTAGAATCAATCATATGAACTTTAATTACTTATTTTTTAGCCTGAAATCTTAGAAAAAGTTCTATAAAGGGAAATAACCGAGTTAGTCCAGCCTCCCTGCCATGACTACAGCTGGTGTAAGATGATGCTGCATGATTTTTAACATCTGCAGGTAAATAATGTCATAACTCTGGTATGTGCTAACTTACACCACTTAGCATCTTTTATTGGCTTCCTATTCAGCTTTGAATCTATTTTAAAGTTATTTTGTGTGATTTTGAGTCTTTACATGATCTTAACCTTTTTTATTAGTCAGAATTGCACATTTATACTCCATCACATGCTCTTGGATCATCTGCTTTAGGCACTCCCAAATACCTCTGCAGCTCTGGCTACTATATAGTGAAATAAGTTGCTAATGAGGGTCGATAAGGTCCTGTATCTCTTTTCTGTCTTTTAAAAAACAATTTTTTCCTCTGGCTTTAATCCCAAAATGAGTCAATGTCTGTATTTTAATGTGCCACTCTTTCATTCTGTTTGGGATGTGTTGATTACCATTTATCAATACTTTACTTACCGTTTTATATATTTGTCAAACACTTTGGGCTGCTGCTGTGTTTAAAGTGCCGCAGAAATAAACATGGTGTGGTACCCAAAGAGACCACACCCATTTATTAACCAATGGGTTAAATAAACTTTAAACACAAGCAGCGTTTCTATCAGCTTGCTTATATTGGAGATTTCATATGCAGACTGATAAATTCCAATATTTGTTTCTTTTGGCTGATATCAAAGAGATTTCCAATGTCCGATTGCGGCCATCGCTATAAAAAGTTGCCTGAAAAGAAGAATAAAATTACTGAATACATCAGTTTTTAAACCAGGTAGGGAATTTTTGTTATATCATTTATTTAAAAAATATATTTTTAGTGCTATATTTTCTTTAACGATACCCATTTGGACCAGAAAAATAGTTTAAACTTGCTTTAAATGTTTTGATAAACCAGTATTAGAGATTGGACCAAGTTTACCAATCAAAGTTTTGTGCAAAGATCCACTTGTAACTTGATAAAGTAGATAGATTCTTAAGGTTTGAACAAATGAAGCTGAACCATAGAAGACACACTTTGCACCTTTCAGGATTGAATCAGCAGCAGACATAGATGCATTATAAATGGATTAAGTTATTGCTCTTTCTGCCTTCTGCACTGACATTTTACACCAAGCTATATTTCTTTTTTCCCTTTTTGCAAATTCTGGAAAGGAAAACTATGCTCAATTATTTGAATATATATACAAAAAACAAGGTTGCAGAAAGGGAAAGCATGTGAACATTCTGAACTAATACATTTTAACCATGCATAAGAAGCACATCAGCCTAAATCAAATAAGACTTTTTTTAAATTTATGGTTTAGCAGCAGGTGAAATCGTGAATTAACCTCTATGTTGCAGTGTCCAAAAAGAAAGTACACGTTTTCAATCCATATGGGGTCTAAAGTTGCGCCAATATAAAAATACCTTATTTCTTACATTAAAATTATAAAAACGAACGCCACGCGTAAGCCGAATTTGTCGTCTACCCTTCAGAGTTCATATTCCAACTTTTCTTGGTTGCTGAAGATTTTAACTTTTAGGAGAAACTTTATTTCAATCTTTAATGAAGGAAGTCTGGTGAGCGGTCCTTTCCCCGCAGACAGAGCTGAGGAATTGGACCCCTGGCGGGAGCCAGTCAGATCTACTGTAACCGCTTTCTTTTTTCCCAGTGTAGTCTAGTTAAATATTGTTCAACCACTGCAATCTGGACCAACAGATAAGGGCCACATCAGCCAGTGAAGTCACTCACCGTCCGGAGGGCTGCCATCTCCTCTACGCTGATAAGCAGAGATTATTCGTCCGTGTGGAAACAAATAAAACTCCAACTCTGTTCCGCTCAGCCAGCCGCACAAAGCCGATTTATAAACAGCTTATTATATTTGAACAGTTGTTCAGTAATCGTGTTGTATAATATATCACAGTTTTAATTTTGCAGTTTAATAATTAAAAAACATATAAGATGTGCTGATTAAATACAACAAAACATGAGTTTTCCAATGGCATTCAGGAAGTTATTGGAGGCGTGACAAAAGCCTGGAATCTGATTGGCTCAGAAAAACAAAGGTTACTCTAGGTCAAGCTGCTTGGTGTGGATTGGTGTCTCAAGAGGGGAGTGGTGTGGGTCCTGTTACAGTTGACCTGGATACCTAAACATGCCTTAACCACGGAAAATGCCTAAATTATTTTCTTTTTCCACTGGAACACAAACATGTCTGTTCTAATTTTAACATAAGCTGTGTTGTCATAGGTTCACAGACCCTCAGGTTGGGATCTGACTCTTGAAGCCATAATTGAGTTCAGCTCCTCCACTGAGCAGCAGGTCGATGCCTGTGCAAAACGAAGCGTCTGCAGCCAGAAACACAGCAGCAAGTCCACATTCGGCCTCCGTCCCCATCCGACCCATCAGCTGTTGGAGAGGAAAACACAAGAAAGAGCTTGAACAAGGCCACATTGTGTGTTTGGAACAACGCAGTTGTTCCCACAGTTGCTGCAAAGCTGTAAAATCTGCTTAAATAGCTTATATTTAAAATGCCTCTCGACTTATACCACATAACGTAACATAAAAAATAAACTTTATCATGCTGTGAGAGAAAGACAGCCGTTGGAAATAAATCAATACAGTGTTTTGCAAAACTATTTATATTGCTTGACATTTTCCATGTTTTGTTGCATAACAACCACAAATTTCATTCTATTTTATATGTAACTGAGTGAAGGAAAACAGCCTCTAAATAATAAATTGAAACTACTAGTTCCATGATACTGAAAGCAAAAGTTGATTTAGGGTTTATTTAAGCATATCAGGGGAAAGATGGGCTACAAAAACAAATGGAATTTTACTTTTCTATTTGCATCATATTTTGAAAACTCTTGTACTCTTCCCACTTCTTAGTTGTTGGTGTCTGTGTCAGTCTGTCAGATAAAAATCTGTGTTTGCAGAGAAAGATTCAAGACGTAAAAAGTCTTTAGGAAAATCAAACAAAGTATAAATAACAACAGATCACTCACTAGGAAAAAAAAAGAAAAAAACTATATTTAGGGATGAAACATCTGATCATCAAGTTGTTCTATTTTCAGTTAAAACAATGATCAACTAGTTTCCTCAGATGCTTGTCTAATTAGCATTTCAACATTCCAGACTTGGTGACTTATTCCCTGCTGGTCCTAAGAATAAAGGTGTTCCTTCTACAACATAACAGACCGGTTGTAATGAAGCCATTTGCCTCGTTAACAAAACAACAGACTAGAGCAGGAGTGTTTTGCTAATGCACTTGAGCTGTTACTTTGTAATACCAGAAACAGCTGGAGACTTTTCACAAGGCAAACCAGTTCACCACACCAAAGCCCTGAATGCTGATTTTATATGAACGACCCCCAATGCTTCATACATTCTCCAGGCCTCACCTGCGCATTTTCCCCCGCCCGGATGGTAGCTTCCGGGCCGTCTGGGCTGCAAGTTCTTCCCACAGAGGAGTCAGCACGTTCCCTGGAGAGATGCTGCAGCACATGTCCGACACTCATTGATACCCAAACTAATTAATACTTCTATAGTTTCTTTTTCAACATAGATTTTTGTAAATGCATAAACATTTTGTAAACTTCTGTTTTTTTAGTGAAACGATTTGCTATAAAGATGGCTTCAATGATGACAGATTGTCCGTGGATGTGTTTATCATCAAGCCTGTGCAACAGAATGGTGTCCCCACCAGTGCAGAGCTTGCTTAACAATGGCAGCAAGCTACTAAAGGCATCTCCACACCCAGTTAAGTTAAGATTTTTGGGAATCCTCTTTGCTAAGAGGGTCAGCAGTAGAGACAACTTTGCCTCTGAAAGTAAAAGACCAAGATTAGGAGGAACAAACACAGACAATAAAAAACAAAACTTTTACTTTCTGATGAATTCAATATTGAGTAGAGGGAAGAAATTATGAGTACAGTAAAGCATCCTGATAGATTCTTTTTGTGGGGCACCATATTATCCCTGGGAAGGTGCTCCCCTAAGAGCACAGACACGAGGACAGGGAGCAAAACATCCTACAAAAGCCACAACTGCAAGCAATTCAGGAATGGTTTAGTGCAGATTTGTGTTTTTTTTTTTTTTTTACATTTAATATAGCAAAAGAAATCACCTGGTTCAAAACATAAACCTGCTGGTCTGGTAAAAGGTTACATCTCCGGATAATTAAAGGTCACTTTTAGGAACTTTAATTCTAGCCGTCTAGAATTTCTTCTCTTTGGAGCTCAGAAGTTACTCCTGGGAATTACTTTCTGGAACATACATGTAACTTTCCACAAGCTTACAGGTTATATCTTTAGAGGCTAAAGGTTACAGAAACTTAAAGTTTAACCTCAATCTCTCCTTTCTGATAAGCATGAAAATATGCACAAGTATATAAAGCTGAAGAAATGATCTGTTGGTCAGTGTTAAATAGAAATGGCTTAGGACTCAAAAAGCTAAAGAATAGAAGCTTGTTGATTTGACCGGATTTTGTTTAACTTTTTCTGCTTTGACTGAGTGATTATTTCTGGAATAATGTTTTGCTCACCAGTTTACTCTCACATTGTGACCACTCTCATCCACAGCCATAGCCTTTGTCATGGAAATGATTGCCCCCTTGTGGAGGAGAATTTGCATTACAGAACAGCCATATGCATTTGTAAGTTTCTGATTCTTTCTGTACTTACTTTGGTTGCAACATAAGGTGCAGCATCTTTCTGACCTATGGTGGCTACTAGACTGGAGACATTAATGATGTTTCCCTGACGCTGACGTAGATATGGTAATGCAAGCTGCAGGGAGAGGGAGACAAAAACATATTTCCAGTTATGTTTTTTGCCCTTATGAAATAAAACAATTCTAGAATAGATTATATGGAACATATAAGTAGGTAACATACCAGTTTCCACTCCTCTGATGATTCTTTGGATTTCACATCAAGGTTTAAATCAATATATCTTTGCAAATGATTACTTTTTTTACGGAAGAGGATTAGGTCCACTGAAAAAAAAAAAGTTTTTTTAATTTTATTTCAGTATAATATGAGAAAAAAGTCAGAATTCTGACCCTATCTCAGAATTATGACTTTAATCTGAGAATTGTGATTTTAATCTCAGAATTCTGAATTTTTTCTCAGAATTCTGACAACTAACAAACATGTTAGCATCAGCCGTAGTCATGTCTGTTTTTGAGACTAAACTAGCTCTCGTGTTTTAATCACCTTCTGCTTTTCCATCAATGAAATGGCATCACTGGAGACCCCTTGAGCACGTAAAAAGTCGCATAATTCCTTAATTTTCCACCAATGTGTCACTGACCCTCCCAAACAACTCACATCTTTGTCAGTGAAGCTGAGTGCTCCCACATCTCTTCCATCATGGTGCCCATCTACATTAAGATCCACAATTCTGAGATTAAAGTCAGAATGTGAGAAAAAAGTCAGAATTCTGAGATTACAGTCATAATTCTGACTCTTTTCTCATATACTTAAATAAAATTTAAAAATCAGTTAACTTTTTTTATTTCTTTAGTGGCCCTAATCCTCTTCCGTACTTTTTCTTTAACATTTGTGTTAAAAAAGCAAAATAAATAAAAAATAAATAATAAAAAATTGTGGACACTCATAAAAGCTTACTTTGGAAGCTAGGAAGTAGCTGATGATGTTCAGATTCAGGAGATCCCTGAACTCCTCTGCCGTGATTTCATCAGTCGGTTTGTGAGGAGGGTCTGACATGAAAGATAAAAAAAAAAAGGAAAGAAAAACTCCAACATTAGTCGCTGTATCTCGATACCGTTATGACAGCTGCTGAAGGAGGAGACCTACGCCAGCCTGCGTTGTTCACCAAACAGTCGATGTGTCCATAAAGCTCCACGGTGGCTGTGATTAATTGCTGAAAAGACAAAGAAAAATATTAATCAAAACTGGAGATTTCCAGATTTATGGTCATTTTCCCAGGATGCAATTTTAACTCACTGAACATTTATTGTCAGTCTTAATATTTATGTTTTGATATTTTTTTCCAATCTTTTATGCATAATAATCAACACTGACCTGTAAAGAAAAAATAAAAAAGCATTTGATTTTAGTTCAATATTTTTAGAAATGAAAATTATCATGTTAGGACATATGTACCTCACAGTCGTTGATATGTCTATAATATTTATAGAGTTAAAGTGAATGAAGCATGCCATTCAAATAAGCTCAAGTAAAAGGGTCTTTTAAGCTAAATGTTTAAGAAAAGAGAGTCATCTTAGGGATATCGAGTCTCCATAGCAACCATTAGATGCTAGCTGCATGTTAATTGGTTGTTTTTAGAGCAAAAAGCTGGCATCACAAACTCACATGGAGTTTGCTCAACTTTGCTAGTACTTTGTAAGGAAGCTGTTTGGCACCAAAACACTCAAACAGGACTTTTGGTGAAACAAAGGTTCAACAATCACTTGATTCCCAATGTAAGGCATGGTAGAGAACTATGATAGTAGTAGCAATATCACTTTGATAGGCCAGGACATTATAAATAAAGATCATATAGCCTTAACCAGAATGCTGGACCAATTAACCTCCCTCCATGATCACAACAGTCTCAAGACAGTGATAATTAATAACAACAACATAATAATAAAGGTTTATTGATCTCGCACTGGAGAAATTTTGCTCTGCATTTGACCCATCCCCTTGGGGAGCAGTGGGCTGCCACTGTGCGGCGCCCGGGAAGCAGTGTGGAGTTAAGGAGTCTAGCTTTGAGACCCAGAGTGGAGGCTGTGGGGATCTAACCAGGTACTTGGAACCTTCTTTGAGCACAAGCGCACTGCTATAACCACTAGGCCAACACTCCCCTATAACATGTGTGCTACTTTATTTCTTGATAACCACAAAACAGCATTAGATCGAAGGCAACCGGACTGTAGCTCAGTTTTTCTGAAGTAGTTTCGACATCTATCCAGGAGGCTTTGTCAGTTCTGTGGGCTCACACTGATGTTTTTAAGCAGAATTGAGGTCCACCCTCCTAAGCACATTTCAAATCAGATGCAAATCAAAGACCCACCTGCCATTTTCCTGTATTCTTTTTAAAAATGGATTTGTGTTTGGCTATTTCAATTAAGATGGCTGTGATTGTGTTACTTCTAGGGAATGAGTTTCAGCAACAAATAACAAAGGCCACAAACTTCTTTAAAGTCTGTAAAGTTTGGAACAAGCTCCAACTTGGTTCTAGAACTCATTCTAAAGAATTTAAAAAAGCACACTCATCATGATTTAAATAGTCAAATACAAAGCCTGTACACAACAAGACTATATAACAACTGAGGAGAACGACGGGTGGGCTTTTGATTTGCATCCGTCTTGAAAAGTGCTTAGATAAAGCTTATAGTTAGGGTGGCTCAGGTTATCCTGAGCTATCTCTATAGTTATGCTGCTATGGGTTTAGACTTTTGGAGGACATAGGGACCCCCATTTCATCATTCTGCTTCATTCTCTCTCTATTCTCCCATTCTGCAGAATCTGTTAGTTCAATCTCTAACGTTCTGCTCTCTCTGCTTTTCCTTAGAGTAGCTTTGCCTCGTCTGTTCCTGTTTGGCTGTGAAACATCCTGGAGAGAAATATCAGCTGTGCTGCTTCCATCAACACCCTTGTTGATAGCCTGTTTTCCAGTGTGGTCCTGTTTCTCTAACCGTGACTGGCTGGATGTGCTCTCTTCGTCCTCTGGCATGGGAGCTGGCTCGGAGCTCGTCTGCCTGGCTGTGTGTTTCCTGGACGGGGCCGCCTTTTACAACTGCTTTTTGTATCTCTGCTTCTGTCTCCTTGAACCCCAGTCGGCCTCAGCAGATGGCCGCTCACACTGAGCCTGGTTCTGCTGGAGGTTTCTTCCTGTTAAAAGGGAGTTTTTCCTCTCCACTGTCACTACAAGCATGCTTAGTGTGAGGGATTGTATTTGAGTCAATGAGTCAATGGAATCAACTGGTTTTCCTTAGATAGAAAACTTTGAATCAATTTGACTGTATGATCTGGTTGAACTGTAAAGTGCCTTGAGATGACGTGTGATGTGAATTTGGCACTATATTAATAAACTGAATTGAAATTGAATTGAATTGAAATTACTTAGGAGGATGGACATTGCTCGAGTGAGAGCCGAAAGAAATAACAAAAACTCCTGGATGGTTGTTGAAACATCTTCAGAAAAAACGATCGAAGGTCCGATTTTTGTAGTTTCTGTTTTGTAGTTTCAATGATGACTTAGAATTTGCAAAACTATTTCTCTCTTGATGTTATTTTGCTTTTACATGATGATTATCAGAACATGTCTGTAAACTAAAACTTTTGTGAAATGTTTTAGTAATCTGTGGTGGCTGGTAATTATTCTTCTTTTCAAAGCCTCCATGTGGTTGCACAGTGGGTACATGGTCCGCACTAGTACCTGAAAGTATTTAGATCCTGCGGTCTGGGCTTGTTATGTAAAGTTTGTTAGCTCCCTTCATACATGCCTGCCTTGTTAGGTACTTTGGTATCCACCTAAAAATCCACATAAAACATGCATATTGGGTTAACTGGCAATTCTAAAGTTTCAATAGGTAAATCTGGATTTTTTTTCTCTCACCAAATGACTGCTGGGAAGACTGGATTCCCCAAAGACCCTTAAAATGGGACAGATTTATATACATCCTCAGTCTTGTTCTGCTATGTAGAAAATCAGAGTTTCATGGTATTCCAAACGATTTAGATACAGCTTTTTGTTAAGTTTACTTTTAGTTTTAATATATTTTGTGCATTAATTTATTTTAAAAAGCTGATTTTCATCAGGTCATAAGATAAGAGACAAAGTGAAGAGCCTCCAGCTCAAATGTTGTATTTGTGAATGTTTGCACCTGAGTATATTTTACTTTACCTTGATCTCCTCTTCCTTGGTCATGTCACACTTCACAAACTTGCATGAACCTGGTCCCTGCGTGTTGAACTCTGCTTCTTGGGCTTCACCTGCTGCAACTGAAACACATAAAAGCTCCAAGTTTCCCACTCAGCGAGCAACTATTTGTTAGTAAGGAAAACCAATGTTGTGGTCGGATGCATTCAGCAGTTTTGCATTGAGAAATGTGAGGGAAATGTGCAGAACTGACCTCCTCTTGCACAAAACACCACCTTGGCTCCATTTTCCACTAAAGAAAGACGCAAAAATAATCAGAGCTCCATTTCATGTTGCAATCATAACAACCACTAGAAATACAAATGTCCACAATACCAAAGGCTTTGACAATCCCTCTACCAATCCCTTTGGATCCTCCAGTGACAATAACCACTTTGTTTTGGTAGCGCAGAGGCATTTTGGTACCCTTCTGTCAGCAGCGCGACGTGTTTATCTCCAAAAGCCCTGACGTTAGCATTAAATCAATATTTCAAGCTGACTGCATGTCTGGGTCACTTTTACTTTACAGTCTCCAACTGTTTGTTTTGTAAAGTTTAAAGTCCCAGAAAAAAAAGTGTTTTGCTCTTAGTGGAAATCTAGCAACTTGTTATAAAACTCCCGAAAAAGCATTATCAGCAATAAAATAAATAAATAAATAAATAAATAAATAAATAAATAAATAAATAAATAAAATCATTACATACGAATAATGATGTTATACAGAAAATATAGACATAAATTAGAGATAATAAATAAAAAATCCTGCCTCAGAACTTAATTAATCCTCACACAAAGTAAACCATGAGACAAAAGACACAAGATAAGACAGATACAGGTCAAAATAAACATGGAAACTATTTAATATAGATTTGTATAGAAGCCTGAATTAGGATATTTACCGGTATTCAAAATTTTGATTTTTTTTCTTGTATATTGTGAATCAGCTGAGATTTCCATGATAATGCAGTTAGTGTTGTAGCAGTCTCTATGGGGGGAAAATGATGCCACAATCCAATAAATCAGTCAAATAAATATGTATAAATGGTAAAATTCTATGCATATAAATAATACTTCAAATAAGTAAGAAACTAGTATTTAAAGAAAATAGCTTTATCAATTCTGAACAATATAAATTAATAATGAAATGAATAAATGTATAATCAACATTTTGTTAATTAAACAACTAATGATTACTCATTTAAGTATCTTTTTAAGAATTTCATACCTGCTTAGCAATTGCAAACCCCTAAAATATCATAAACTCTCATCAGTGCATTAAAAACGTACCCTGAAATCTGATGTTTTTTTCCGAATCATTTGAACTGTAGGTCACTAATCTCTTCCATGGAAATGTCAGCCAACTTCATTATAGGACCAAAACAAATGAAGTAAAATAAATGTTGATATGTTTTCAAAATATAATGCTTAGAAATTTTATAATTAGCTAACTTTTGAGTAATTATATGTACGTTATTTGTTGTTTAATATACACAATTACACACTTATTCACACAATAATATAAGAATATTCATCAGGTCACAACTTTATTATTTATTTAGGAATTTGATTAAAAAAAATTTTTTTTGATTTACTGTTAAATAGTTTATTTGTATTGGTGGAAAAATGTTTGTTTTTGTCAACAAAAAATGGGTTCATGTCATCACAGGATGCTGACCAAACTGAAAAAATAATCCAAGGAAAGTAATTTGGTTACACATTACAATATCTACCAAAACCATAATTTATCAAAGGTACGGACACCATTTATTATTAATTCACAGATGATTAAAATTTGATTAATTTCTAAACTGTATCCAAACCATTTATAAAGGTAAATAAATAATACATTAAGGTATTACCTCCACTAATGTTAGGTTAGGGTAAGTCTAACACAGCAGGGCAATATGAATCAGTCAGATTAAGGTAAGGCAAAAACTAACTGGTGTTAGGGTTAGGGATAAACTAACATAGCAGGGCAATATGATCGATTTATCTTTCATAATTGTTTTAGATTCAGTTTATACATGGTAATCAAGTGTAACACGGGGGAATTACCCAGATTGTGACCGAGGACCTGACCCTAAACCAACTAGTAGACCGCTAAAAATAACATCAAGTGGCCTAGGGTCTCCCAATTAAATGTACATAGGTAGGTCTGGCTTAAAATGAGGAAGCAGAATTAGTATACAAATTATATATTTTATTTATGCATTATTTTACAATTAGAAGACAAACTTTATTATTCTACTTTAAAATTCAATAAGGCACAGGAACCTGTGACAAAACAAGAAGCAATCTGAGACTCTAGAAACACACTGCAAACCACGTTAGTAACACACAAGATAAGACAAGATCATATTAATTTAGAAAAACACGAATCTCATTTTGCGTCCTGCGTCCTGTTGCGTCCACGTGCCGAATCAGCTTTTTTAGAAAATAAATAAATGGTTGTTCTGGTTCTGTAGTGCCCGTGCTACAACTCCAACCACCCGGTTACACAAGCATTAATAAGCAACATGTTAATCATTGATAAAAAGTATCTTTACCATTTTTAAATGATGGTTATGGTTACTAGTAGTGCTTTTACCTTCAGCTGCTGGGATTACTGTCTCTGCTGAAAAAACAACCATCTGAAATTTACAGGAATGTCTGAAAAAATAGCTTTTTTTTATTGGGACCAGAGCAATCTGTTTGGGCATTATCCTTTCAAAATAAAACCAGAACATATACAATTTGTTTTGTATTTATTTCTCACAGGAAGAGTGTGAAATAATACAATGAGTAATGAATGTGCCTGCGTAAATCCTTAGACACCAGTGTCATGGCAACCTCAAAAGAGGCTTAAACTGAAGGCAACCTAACTTTGCTCAGCTTTCTGGCGCTTTAACACCTATACAGAGAGTAGCCACACCCCATCATTCCTGAAAATCAAGGTAAAAAAAGTAGTTTGCTCAATGATTACTAATCAAATCCACTGATCATCAAACTAAGTGCATGAATCATTACTACTGACTGAAATAAAATCCTGCTTAGGGCCCCATGCAGGCTTGGGCCGGCCCTGCAGAATGACAACATAGTCAATCTGCTCTGTTCACAGTTTAGTCATGATTCCTGGTGTTTGTTAACGTACAGATACCACAAAAATTCCGCTTGCAGGCAACATTATCCTTCAGTACAAATAAATCCCATGTTTCCAGGCTCATCATGGTACAAATAGATCTGGATAATTAGATTATTTCTCCTCCAGAAGGGAAATTAGCATTGCTGTACCAGTAAAGGGAATACGGATTAATTATAGAAAAACTTTAAAAGAAAAGAATGAACACGAAATATAAAAAATAAAGAGATTAAAGTAAATAAAAACAACTACAGATAGAAGTACAGTTTTTTTTTATTTAAATCAATTCATAAAACAGATAAACGTACCAAAAAAACACATTATATCCAGCAAACCCAATGTTTGTTGTAGTGTTTAAAAAAAGCAAAGCAAAAAAATATATAAATTGAAAATTTAAACGAATAATCTTAAAATTGTTCTTTTCAAGAAATTTATTTAAATATAAAATGTAATTTTTAATTTTAATTGTTAATTTTAACCTTTATATTTTATGAAAAAAATCACTCGGCACTAATAACAATTGCAGTGAAAGATGATATTGAGCTTTCTTTATTGTCATTATTATTACTATTATTCATGCAGGTATGTACACTATTCATGTATTCAATATGTACAGTATGTTTAGCAGGTTTAAGAGGTTGACATTTTCATACAGCAAAGGTGGCGTCGAGTATGGAGGGGTGCAGCGGCAGTCTTGGATCCGGGTCAAAGATTAAATTTCAACCCGGCAGCATTCCCTTGGGCGGCGCGTAACAGAGAGGGTGCAAGTGCAGTGACCCACAAACAAGCTGAACTACAACAGATTAACACCACAGCGGCTCCTGAAGGAGCCACGGCGCTCCGTCTGCCTCCTCCTCCTCACAGTTTATCAAAGGACAGAAGATCGGGAGGACCTACCTGGATATCGGGATGAGGGAATCAATACAGAGGGTCAGCACTGCAGACATCTGGTGTTGGAGGTACAGCAGGAGAGAGATGTGGAGGTGTGAGTAGTTGGTGAAAACAGGTGAGGAGGAGGAGAGCGGTCTAATCATGAGATCTATAAAATGTTTAATAAATGTGAAAGAAAGAGATTGAGGAAGATGCATGTTTATCCTTTATATTCTGCAGACAGTCATATAAAATCTAAGGTACACTTTAACAAAATCCAATGCAACCCTGCAGCAGTCAACTTTCAATCAGACTAAGTTTCAGGTTAGACTCAAAGAACTGCTGTGATGATGTACTTGGAGTCTCTATATCGGATAAATCTCTAGGTTGTGATAAAAGTGATAAATGGAAGATGTGTTATGTTGAAGGAGTTACGAAACATTTTACCTGCATTGACTCATGACTTTATGTACTTTTATATCATTGCTCTGTGTTCAATCTTGATTTTCTTTCCTCCAGTAGATAGATACAACACAATCAGCCAGTTTGAGAGACATCAGACCTCGAGAAATGGATAATCAAGGCACAGAAGGACCAGGAGAAGGAGGCGATGCAGAGGGGAAACAAAAAGCAGAGGAGATCAGTGATGAACAAAAGCAGAGCAAAGACAAGTACAACAAGTTGGAGAAGGAGAGCAGTGAGAAGGAGGTGAAGAGTGAGGCCAGGAGGGAGAGCCGTCGTCTCTGCAGGAGCGGCTGGGCGCTGAGTGAACGTCTGGCCATAAATGTCTCGGGGATGCATTATGAAACCCAGCTCCGGACCCTTGCTCAGTTCCCTGACTCTCTGCTGGGTGACCCCCGGCGCCGGCTCCGTTACTACGACCCCCTGCGCAATGAGTTGTTCCTGGACAGGAACCGCAACTGTTTTGACGCAATCCTCTACTTCTACCAGTCGGGCGGAAGGCTGAGGAGACCCGCCAACATCCCTTTGGACATGTTCCTGGAGGAGCTGCACTTCTACGAGCTCGGAGAGGAGATCATTGAACGCTTCAAGGCGGATGAGGGCTTTCCAAAAGAGGAGGAGAGACCCTTGCCGGCCACAAAGTGGCAACAGAAAATCTGGATGTTGTTTGAATATCCCGAGTCCTCTGGTGGAGCCCGGATCATCGCCATCATCAGCGTCATGGTCATCGTCCTCTCCATCCTCATCTTCTGCCTAGAGACTCTGCCAGAGTTCAGAAACGAGAAGGAACGAAGGGAGGTGAGGAGTGAAGTTTACCGTAAGCAATGGGAAGAGTAGCAGAGAATTAAAAGTGTAACTTTTTCATGATATGGTCTAAAAGTTCAGAGTGAAGTTGGATAGAAAATCAAGTAAAGCATCAGTGAGACTGATGTCTCAAAACCCGATCCCCTCAGTCTGAGTCAAAGGAATGAAGAAAGCAAAGAGGCATTCTACAGATAGTGGAGGAACACTGTGTGAAGATGCTTTGCTTCT